AAGGTCAAATACTAGTCTTGTGATTAACTCATTCTAGCCCAAGTTGCATCTTATCCCTAGTTGTTAGCAATTACCTAGCTTTTTTGGTGCTAACACTAGCTTGAGGAACAAGTTCTGGATAAGGGTGGGAAGAAAGACCTTGATGTGCTTTGTGAGGTGAAGTTGGTTGACTAGATGTAAAATTGTTCTCTTTTTGATGAGCTCTTGAAAGTGAATAACACCATGGTTCAAAAGAAAGTTAGGATAAAGTTTGGTCATGCCATATTGAACCGGCAAGGGGAAGAGCTGAGCATAGACAATGATGGCATGGGTGGTGGAAATCATGTTCGCATGGAACTTGGCGATGGCCAGGGATAAAACAAGAACATGATCATGGAGTAACAAGGGCCCTTGGAAGTTCACATTAATACATCATCTCTAATAACATTATGTGCTGGAATAGTCGTGGTATTGGCCACAAGGAGTTCTTGAATTTGTTAAAGATATTACGGAAGGAATATGATTTGAGCGATCTACATCCTCTTGGAAACTCATGCTTCCAAATAGAAGGTGGCTAAAATTATTAGGAGGTCTAATTTATTCATCACATGTCCTTGAATCACAAGGTCGATTAGGGGAAATTTAGATGCTTTGGAGCTCAAATTGTTGTAGTGTGTCTGTTGGCTTAAGATAGAAAATTTGTTCATTTTTGTGTCATTGGCTTAAGAGGATAAGCTTGGATGATCACAGTAGCTGGGAGTTTGACTTTAGCACTTTGTACTAGTCTGTGACCTATTTAAAAGGTTTAGCTGATTCATTCAATGAGATATGGACTTTGATGGAGATTTTAATTTTGTTTGTAGCCAACACGAGCAAATAAGTTTGAAGGTTTTAATGCACTTATTCATTGTTGTAGTTTAATTAATGTATGGTATGAAGAACCCAACTTCACTTGGCAAAAGGGGAATCTGATAGTGTTTTGATAAAATCTCCATGAATTAGGATTGAGCTACCCTCTATCCCTTAGCTTTGGTGTATTGTCTCCCTAATCTACAATCTGATCATAGGTCATTGTAGTTGCGCTTGGATTTAGGGCAACCTTTGAACAAAAGGGGAGGCCTTTGCATTTTATGGCTTCATGGCTTACATATGAGGATTTATCTAGAGTGGTTTGGGAGAATTAGACTGTTGTGAATGGGTGGAGACAACACATGTAGAATTTTCATGAAAACCTTATATGGTAGAACAAACATGTGTATGGCAACATTCTGAAACAGAAAAAAAGAAGTGTAGAGGAGATTGGGAGAAATTGATCATAGCCCCCAAAATGAGAGTAATTCTTACCTCACTCAGCTTTAAGTTAAATTATGGGGAGATTCAAAAGAGTCTCTTCCCCAAGAAGAAATATTGTGGTTCTAGAAATCAAGGTTTAAATGGCTAAAGTTTGAAGATTGTAACATCAAAATTTTCCATTGTTCTATCATAACGAGAAGGAAGAGGAATGAGATAGTTTACTTGCAAATAGTGTTTTGAAAATTGGATTGGTGATCATCTTGGTTAAGGCACAAGGTTAGTGGTCTCTAGTTGAACCACATGAAGATATATTATCAATATAAAATTTGAGATTAGCAACATAGTTTAAGAATTAATTTTCACATATATATTACACAGTGGCATCCTAGATTAGTGGCTTGTTGTCTCTTATTTCTAGAAAGTACTTGTGTTCTAGTCGTTGCAACAACAAACCTCTTCATATTTTTTGTTAAATTATTTTGTCTTTACACTTTGTTTGTGGGCAATGAACATGGAACAAAATGCTAGAGCAGGCAACATGCACTCAAAGTTACATGGATGTGGTGGGGGTGCTTAAAACAACGTGCATTCAAGCAGAGGTCATGTGTGCATGAAACAGGGGTGGGGGATATTAGTCACAAATTCAACTATAGCCTGATACATGGTACTAGGTTGATGTTGTCATTTCCAAGTTAAATGCAAGTCTGATATGAAAAGATGAGCAGATCAAACCAATGATCATGGTTTTGGGTCCTAGTTGGACTGGTCAATCCGGTCCAAGTTTAATAACATTGCTTGTAGAATGATTTCGAGAACCTTAATCCATGAACATGTATTATTGAAACTATGGTTACAAAATTCAACAAGAATTTGTTCAAAGATGGGGGTCTTGTGGAGTCTTTCTGTCTTACATGTGTGTTTTCTTTAACTTCATAAAACTACTTGTCTGAGGTTTCATTAGTGTAGTATGATTAAGAAGTTCTTCAGCAACCTGACGGATGTGGACAAGGTTAACAAAACCAATATTGTCCTTATTCCTAAGGTTGATGATGTAGCCTCACTATCCTAGTTTAGACCCATAAGCCTCTGCAACGTTTCATATAAGGCTTTAACCAAGGTGTTAGCTAGCTAGTTGAGATCTATTATTGAAAATTTAGTTGGGCCTATGCAGCGCAACTTTGTTTCTAACAAGTAGAGTAGAGATAATATCATCATTACTTAAGAAGTCGTCCATTTAATAAAGACGAAGAAAAGAGTAAAGGGTGGATGGCTATAAAGATCAATTTAGATAATGTGCACGATTGACTAAAATGGAATTTTATGAGGAATACTCTCCAGGATATTGGGCTCCCCTAATGTTTTGTTGATATGGTTTGGTGGTGTATGTCATATACTATTGATCTCATGTTGTGGAATAAGAAAACTTTAGAATAGTTCAACCCATCTAGAGACATTGGATAAGGGGACCCTATCTCCCTTTATATCTTCGTTCTTTGTATGGAATGTTTAAGCCAACTGGGTTTTTTAATTGTGGAACAACATATTTGGAAACCTATCAAAATGGGAAGGAGGGGTTCAAAGTTGTCCCACCTATCCTTTGTAGATGACCTCATTTTATTTTATGAGGCACCATTGGAGCAAGCTCAAGTTATTTCTTTTATCTTGGAATTGTTTTGCTCTAGCTTTGTGGATAAAATTAGCAAAGAGAGAAACTAGAGCTTTTTCTACAAAAATTTGGGGTGGAATGTTAGTTCAGACATTAGTGAAAAACTTTATTTATTTTGATAATGAATATAATAGTTTTTTTCTTTTATTTGTTTTGTCCGGGTTATAATGATTATAAATTATTTAATTATTTGTTTTTATATTAATGATGAATAAATATTAATTTTTTTATTTAAATTGTTCTTTTTATTTTGATATATTTGTTTATTTAGTAGCAATTTATTTTATAATATTATTAAACTCTAATAATGTTTAGTAATTATTAAAATATTTTTATTCAAATTTTATCTTTTATATTAATATATTTGTTTTGATATATTTACTTTTTAAAAATTATTTTTAGTGGCATTTTATTTTATAATATTTTGAAAATCTAATAATGATTAGTAATTATTAAAAAAATTATCCAAATTTTATGTCTTGTTTTGATATATATATTTTTAATTATTTTCAATAACACTTTATTTTATAATATTGTGAAAATGTAATAATGATTAGTAATTATTAAAATATTTTTATCTTTTTTTTATTTTGATATATTTATTATATTCAGGAAATTTAATAATTATTAAAATATTTTTATTATCCAAAATTTTCCTTTTATTTATTTATTTTAATTATTTTCAGCAGTTTATTTTATAATATTGTATAAATGATTAGTAATTATTAAAATATTTTTATCCAATTTTTTCTTTTTGGACCGTCCAGGTCGGAATATGTCTGACACGTGTCTCGGTCGTTTCCCGAGATACCTCAAAGGAGCAGGCATTTTAACCCTTTCGCCTTATAGGCTCAGGGTTGAAGGGCATGTGGACCGTCCAGGTCGGGATCCGACCTGATCTCTCTACTTGTGATAGGCCGAGTATTACCTCGACCGACCTCATAAAGGGATACTCGGTCCTTAACCAACTTGGCCCATTGACATAGGGGAGGTCGTCCCAATACCGATCTCTCCGGTCAGAGGAGGCACTCTCGATCATCACGCGACCAGGCCCTCTTAGGCTGGTTTTGGTCGGTCGTATCCCGATACGAAGTCTCCAGGACGCTCCCCGAATAAAAGCAGTTAAGGAAATCCCTACGTTCTCGGGGCCCATGAGGCCCATGGACAACAAACTATAAAACCTAAAACCCTAAGGCTAGGAAGGCAGATTACACTTTTGAATGCTCTGGCTTTGAGGCTTGACCTAGGAAAAAACCCTAGTCCTCCCCTTGGCCGGAACATTTTGGCGCCCACCGTGGGGCTACGGTGAAACTTTTCCTACGCCCCAAGAAATACCAGAAACCTACACTTTACCATGGCGAGAGGCGAAAATAACAACAACAACTCACAACCCCCTACCATGGAGGAGATGATGGCCATGATCAATGGCTTAAGGGAGGAGAATGCGCAATCCAGGGAGAGAGAGGAGGCCATCCAACGTGAAAACAAAGAGATCAGGAGGCGCGCAGACGAGATGCAGGCCAGAATAGCGACCAGCACCAGGACAGTGGAGGAGGACGCCATGATGGAAGTCCCCAGGGATTTCTGACCCTTCTCGGAAGCCATAAAAGCCGAGATCATCCCCAGGGATCATAGGATTCCCCAAGTCGACTCCTTTGATGGAACGCAGGACCCTAGCCAGCACTTGACGGATTTCTGAGCTCAGATGTTGATTTGCGGAGGGAGCATGGAAGTCCGCTGCAAGCTATTCATGGGCACGCTCAAAAAGGCAGCGCTTGATTGGTTTAGTGGTCTCCCCGACCGGTCAATCATCGACTTCGATGTTTTTAGTCGGCTTTTCATGGCACAATTCGCTGCTAACAAGAAGAAACCCCCGATCACATCGGACCTATTCGACCTCAAACAGCAGCGTGAGGAGTCCTTGAAGGATTTCCTACAAAGGTTCAACGAGGTCGCCTTGAGGATAACGTCTTTGGATGAAAGGATGGCCGTCATCGCATTCCAGAAAGGCCTGAGGTCCGGAGCTTTCGACATCGCGCTGGAAAAGGCCAATTGCTAGACGATGTCGGAGGTGAGAGCCTTCGCGCTGAGCCACATTAAGACGGAGGAAGGGCAGATCAGCAAGAGAGCAGCGGAGAGCCGAGAAATAGGAGGCAACAATAAGGAGGCCAACAAGCATCTCCGACCGCGGTCGGATTGGAATAAGCGACGCGACCGTTACAACATGAAGGAGAGCAACTACCGACAGGCCGATCATGCTGGTCGCCCGAGGGGCGAGTGGACACGCAGCAAGGAAGAAGAGAAGTTCACTCCACTCAACGTTCCCAAGCGGCACATACTGCATGACGTTAATAGCGCGTCACTTTTCGAGTTCCCAGCGGCGACTGACCGCCAGTTGGGACCCTACAAAACCGACTGGTGTGAATTCCATCATACCCATGGACACACTACGGAGAATTGCTTCGTTCTCGGTAGGCAGATTGAGGGCCTTATCAAGGAGGGCCGTTTGAAAAAATTCATTGCAGGGAAGCAGGATGAGGGCTCATCTGATAGGCGACGCAGGCGTGAAGGAGAAGACACAAGAAGAGGAAGGCGCGAAGGGAGGTCTTCCCCGAGAGATCTTTCGGAAAAAAGTACAGAGACTCACCAGCAAGTTGTCCATGGAGACTTCAACACCATAGCGGGGGGATTTGCTGGGGGAGGTCCGACATCAGCAGCTTGGAAGAGATACTCTCGGTCAGTGCTGTCGGTCTCAGATTGGGCGCGACCTACTCGGCCAGCCATCACATTCTCGGACGCCGACTTTGAGGGTGTGTCTCCCCATGAGGACGATCCTATAGTCGTTTCGGCGATAGTCATGGGGTACAATGTGAAACGAGTGTTGGTGGATCAAGGTAGCTCGGCAGACATCATGTTCTGGGAGGCCTTCGTCGGAATGAAAATTCCGACCGATCGCCTTATGCCATATGCAGGTACGTTAGTTGGTTTTGCAAGTGATCAGGTAACGGCCAGGGGGTACACCGACTTGGAGACAACCTTTGGCAAAGGAGACGACATGAAGACTATCACCGTCCAATACCTGGTGGTGAACGCCCAGTCGTCCTACAGCATACTATTAGGCCAACCCACGCTGAATAAGTTGGGAGCAGTCGTCTCCACACCTCACTTGAAGCTGAAGTATCCTTTGCCAAGCGGAAAGGTCGGGGTCCTATGTGTCGATCAAGAAGTCGCGAGGAAATGCTATGAGGACAGTTTGAGGGCGAGGAGGCACCTGTATGTGACGCAGATTGATCGAGGTGTTCAATCGATCGAGTTAGATCCGAGGATGATTCACTTCGATTCCCGACCAGCCCCGGCGGAGGATGTGAAGGAAGTTAGATTGGCCGAAGGCAAAACGGTCAAGATTGGTGTATCTCTGGCTAAAGAAGACAAGGAAGGGTTGCTGACTGTGTTGAAGAGCAACGTATCGGCTTTTGCATGGAGTGCCAGCGACATGCCAGGTATCGACCCCGACTTTCTGTGCCACCGTCTCATGGTCGACCCCAATGCCAAGCCGGTGATTCAAAAACGACGAAAGTTTGGGGAGGATAAGAGGAAAGCCATAGCTGAGGAGACGAAGAAGTTGTTGGTAGCTGGTCACATTCGGGAAATCCAATACCCGACGTGGCTAGCGGACGTCGTAATGGTACGCAAGAGCAATGGGAACTGGAGGATGTGCACGGACTTCACCAATTTAAACAAAGCTTGTCCAAAAGATTCATACCCGCTGCCCAACATAGATTGTCTAGTCGACAACGCATCGAGGTATGAATTATTGAGCTTCATGGATGCGTACTCGGGGTACAATCAGATCATGATGCACCCTGCCGATGAAGATAAAACAGCGTTCATAGCTGACCAAGCCACCTACTGTTACAAGGTGATGCCTTTCGGTTTGAAGAACGCGGGGGCGACGTACCAGAGACTTATGGACAAGGTGCTGGCCGATCAGCTAGGAAGAAATGTGGAGGCATACGTGGACGACATGGTTGTCAAGTCGCCTAGCGTGTCTCGGCATTTTTCTGACTTGCAAGAGTCGTTCGACACCCTAGCACGCTACCAGCTCAAGTTGAACCCCGCAAAGTGCTCTTTCGGCGTCCAAGCAGGAAAGTTCCTCAGGTTCCTATTGACTCATCGCGGTATTGAGGCAAATCCCGATAAGTGCTCCGCGATAATCAATATGAGAAGTCCCGCGATGATAAAAGAAGCCCAGCAGTTGACAGGGAGGATGGCCTCCCTCTCTCGGTTCCTCTCAAAGGCAGCTGACAAGTCGTTGCCCTTGTTCCAATGCTTGAGGAAGAACGATCGGTTCGCATGGACAGAGGAATGTGAAAAAGCATTTGGCGAACTCAAGCAGGCTCTCACCTCACCGCCAATCCTCACCAAACCACAAACCGATCTCCCTTTGCTGGTATATTTGTCGGCGTCCGAGAGCGCCGTCAGTACGGTCTTAGTGCAAGAAAGAGGTAACTCCCAACTGCCTATTTATTTTGTTAGCAGAGTGTTGCAAGGAGCGGAGGTTCATTACCAAAAGATCGAGAAGTTGGCACTTACCATAGTGATAATCGCATGGAAGCTCAGACACTATTTTCATAGCTACGAAATGGTAATCCGAACAGATCACCCTATCCGACAGGTGTTGCAAAAGCCCGACCTTGCTGGCAGAATGATGAAGTGGTCGATCGAGTTGTCTGAGTTTGCGATCAGGTACGAACCAAGAGGAGCCATTAGAGCTCAAGTGTTGGCCGATTTCTTGGTAGAGCTGACCCCATCGGCTGAGGAGGACTCTTTCGAAGAAAGTAAGTGGATCCTATCAGTCGACGGAGCCTCGAACTTAGGTGGCAGTGGAGTAGGGATCGTCCTTGAGGACCTAGGGTGTATACTTTTGGAACAGTCGCTACGATTTGAGTTTCGGGCTAGCAACAATCAGGCAGAATACGAAGCGCTATTGGCAGGGATAGCCTTGGCAAAAGAAATGGGTGCAACAAGCCTTTCGGCCAGGAGCGATTCACAACTTGTGACGGGGCAGGTAGCGGGAACTTTCCAAGCGAAGGATCCCCAATTAGCTCGGTATCTGGAAAAGGTTAAAGTCCTGTCGGCTGGCTTTACCAAGTTTTCGCTGAATCATGTCCCTAGGAAGCAAAATTCACGAGTCGATCTGTTGTCCAAACTAGCAAGTACAAAGAAGCCAGGGGCTACTCGGCCGGTCATCCAAGAGACGTTAACACAGCCGAGTATAAACGAAGCGCAAGGGAATGTCCTGTTCATCCAGGAAGAGCTTGATTCGTGGATGGGACCGTACATCGCATATCTCACTCGGGGGGAATTACCGGAAGACAAAAGAGAGGCATCGTTGGTGCAAAGGGAGTCGGTCAGGTTCGTAGTCATCAATGAAAGGTTGTACCGAAGGGGTTTTAGCTCTCCTCTCTTAAGGTGTTTGACCATGTCGCAAGCACAGAGAGTGATGGATGAAGTACATAGCGAAATGTGTGGAAGTCATATCGGAGGCCGAGCTCTAGTGTACAAAGTTGCCCGAGCAGGGTACTTTTGGCCATCTTTGAGGAACGACTGCGTCAATTGGGTCCAAAAGTGTGATGGATGCCAAAGACACGCAACGTTGCACCATTCGCCAACTGAGCGTCTTCATTCAATTTTGTCTCCCTGGCCCTTCCACAAGTGGGGCATTGACATTCTCGGCCCATTTACGATAGCCGTAAGACAACTGAAATTCTTGATAGTAGCTGTAGACTATTTCAGCAAGTGGATCGAGGCGGAGCCAGTTGCAACCATTTCAGCAGAGAAGGTTAGGGCGTTTCTGTGGAGGAATATTGTGTGCAGATATGGCGTTCCGCAAGTGCTTGTTTATGATAATGGGACCCAGTTTGGAGTACAAGAGTCCGCGATTTCTGTCAAGGGATCGGCATCCGAATGACGTTCACCTCCGTCGAGCACCCCCAATCTAACAGCCAGGCGGAGTCGGCTAACAAAGTCATACTCTCAGGACTGAAAAAGCGCGTCCAAGATTCAGGTGCTTCATGGGTGGAGGAGCTTCCCCGAGTGCTATGGTCATACCACACGACTGTTCATTCGTCGACCCAGGACACTCCGTTCAATCTGGTATATGGCACAGATGCCATGATCCCAATTGAAATTGCAGAGCCGTCAGTACGTACCACAGCTTTTTCTGAGGGGGAATCCGACCAGGGAAGACGAGTGGATCTGGACTTGATCTCAGAAACAAGAGAGAGAGCAAGGATAAGTCAAGTAGCAGCCCAGAGAGGAGCGGCCTTCAAGTACAATACGAAAGTCATCCCAAGAGATTTCGTTGTAGGAGACCTCGTGTTGAAACGCGCTCAACTAACTCAGATGAGAAACAAACTGTCACCTAAGTGGGTCGGCCCTTATAAAATTGATGATGTGGTCGGCAAAGGAGCGTACCGACTGAGGACCTTGGATGGAGGGAGGATACCGAGAACTTGGAACGCGGCCAATTTACTTTTCTATTACAGTTAATTTTTTCATTTGTAGAAGGTGCACTTTTTTCCTAACTCAGTATTTTTTCCCCATAAAAAATAAGAGGGTTTTTTGCTGAGAAGGTTTTTAACGAGGCACCGCAATCCAATAATTTGTTTAATCAATGAATACTCTTATCCCTCATATTATTTTTTGACATTTTTTATACAGAAGAAAAACAAACTCGTGATTTATCGGTAAAAATCCGACTGGGCAAGTATAAATAACTCGAAGACAAACTCATGATTGATTGGTAAAAATCCGACTGGGCGAGTATAAATAACTCGAAGACAAACTCGTGATTGATCGGTAAAAATCCGACTGGGCGAGTATAAATAACTTGAAGACAAACTCGTGATTGATCGGTAAAAATCTGACTGGGCGAGTATAAATAACTCATTAGACGTTGTAACTTGGTCATTTTCCTCACCAAAAAGAGTCAGATTGGGGGCGATCATTCCTCATGATGTTGAATTTTTTAACTTGGATTATTTCTCAATGGTAGCGCAAGTCGGCGTATGGACGACCTTTTGCATTTCAAGTCCAAAACTCGGATTATTGTCTCATTAGTTACTTCCATCGGCATTTGGGCGATAATATCGCGAAAGGCTGTGGTTTTCAACAGCATATTCTTTAATCTCCAAAAAGAGGTCGAATTTTTTACGATTCCTTTATGGAAGTGAGTTTTCAAATAGGTTTAATTTTAATCCTCCCGTGACGTCGGATTTTAAATGATCACATAGTTCAACACCGTCTTATCAGAATTTTTGTCTTATGGTTGAATTCGGCATTCGAACGGCTTCTGTGGTTTAAAAACCCTGATTTTTAACTTAGAATGTTTTTGGCAATCGGAACTTTGGTGATCAACTTTGGTTTAAAAACTTGAAGTTTTAAACTTAGAATATTTTTGGTTTCGTTGAGATCGGCATTAAGGCGATTGCTTGTTGTTGCAAAAACTTAAACGTTTATCTTAGTTCCTCATTTTGGAAAACCAAGTTTTCACTTGAAAAAATCTTACTTTATTCTAAATCGGAATTTTACCGATTTGTTTAGAAAACCAAGTTTTAACTTGGAAAAATCTTACTTTATTCTAAATCGAAATTTTACCGATTTGTTTTGGAAAACCAAGTTTTAACTTGGAAAAAACTCATTTTATTCTAGTCGGAGTTTGTCCGATTTGTTTTGTAAAACCAAGCTTTAACTTGGAAAAAATCTCATTTATTCTAGTCGGAAATTGGCCGATTAGTTTTGCAAAATCAAGTTTTAACTTGGAAAAAACTCATTTTATTCTAGTCGGAATTTGGATGATTAGTTTTGCAAAATCATGTTTTAACTTGGAAAAAATCTCACTTTATTCTAGTCGGAGTTTGGCCGATTAGTTTTGCAAAATCATGTTTTAACATGGCACAAATCTCACTTTATTCTAGTCGGAGTTTGGCCGAATTGTTTTGGAAAACCAAGTTTTAACTTGGAAAAATCTCACTTCATTCTAATCGGAATTTGACCGATTCATTTTGGAAAACCAAGTTTTCACTTGGAAAAATATTACTTTATTCTAAATCGGAATTTTACTGATTTGTTTTAGAAAACCAAGTTTTAACTTGGAAATATCTTACTTTATTCTAATCGGAATTTGACCGATTCATTTTGGAAAACCAAGTTTTCACTTGAAAAAATCTTACTTTATTCTAAATCGGAATTTTACTGATTTGTTTTGGAAAACCAAGTTTTAACTTGGAAAAAACTCATTTTATTCTAGTCGGAGTTTGGCCGATTTGTTTTGTAAAACCAAGTTTTAACTTGGAAAAAATCTCATTTATTCTAGTCGGAAATTGGCCGATTAGTTTTGCAAAATCAAGTTTTAACTTGGAAAAAACTCATTTTATTCTAGTCAGAATTTGGACGATTAGTTTTGCAAAATCATGTTTTAACTTAGAAAATTCTCACTTCTATACTAGCCGGAATTTGAACAACAACAACAAGCCATGATAAAGACCAAAAAAACATACTTCATGAATACCACAAGATCGTACGAACAAAGTTTACAACGAAAATACAAACAACAATCAAAAACACATAAAGGAAGGCATAGTTCCTAAAAACAAATTCAGTCATCTTCGGGGGGATCCACGAGCTCGCCATCTATGATTTCTTTGAAATAGCCGACTCTGCCAAGATCAATATCGCCATGGAGAAACTTCACTTGGGAAGTGGCAGCGTCAAAACCTTGCGTAAACTTCTTCAGCGAATCCATCTTGACAGCATGGAGATCGGATCGCAACTTATCAATCTTTGCCTTCATTGTTGCCACGTCACTCTCAAAGACTTGAGCGGCATCAGCATTTTTATCTCGCGCTAGGCGAGCTTCTTCAAGATCCCTCTCCATCACTGACTTCTCGGTCGCCTAGGCTTTCCGTTCATCCTCAAACGCACGTCGGCCTTCTAGCAACTTATCCCGCTCATTGGCGATCCACTTCATATCAGCCTTACCTTTACTCACACTCTCTTCAAGGGTGCTGATCTTCTTCCCTTGCAGCTTGATTTCCCTGGCCATACCACGAATTTTGTCCTCGTTAATGAGGGACAAGGCCGAGAGGCGATTTGTTAAAGACTCCACACCTTTGGCAATAGAAAAGGCACTCATTTTCTCCAAGTCGCCCTTGTCCCCTTCCAGCAGGTCGGTTTGACGGATGTGGGAGGAATGGTTGAATTTCTCATCCCAAAAACACGGGACTCTCCCCTGCTCATTCCCATGATCCCCGGGCTCCCAATTCTCGCCTATGCACATGCTAATGGTTCGTTCCGCCGATTGAACCTCTAATTCCTTCTCGGCATCATCTCCCCCGATCTCAGTTTCCAAGTTCACGAGGGTAACAGGTGCCTCGGCCTCCCGACGGCGCTTAAGGGGGCCTCGCCGACCACGCCCTTCGAGAGCGAGACGCCAGTATCTCTCGCCTTTTCCCTGACCACAGCTGTCCCGACCTCTTTAGAGGCCTCTTGCAATTTCCAAAGTTTCCTCAATTCCCGATTGCTCATGCTGGCCATATTCGCTGCATCAAAATACACATTAGTGATAAACGAATATAAACAGTGTGAATTAGGCAATTTATAAGGTGATCGGCGAGGGACCGAATACCTATATAGACTCTCAGTTCATTAGGCCTATTTTCTAAGTCGAAGAGTTTGATAGTGTTGAAAATAGTTTTGAGATCCTCGAGTTTTTTAATCTCCTCTTGATCTATCACGGAAAATTTCTCAGCTGGGAGTCCACCATAGCTCACTATTTGTTGACTCCAATATAAGGGGTATCCTTCAAACACGCTCTCATTACCCGGGGTACAACGCACTCGGAAATAAGACTTCTTAAAGTCCTTATAGGACGATTGAAATAACGTTAGGATTCCCCGACCAGCAACCCCATGGACCGAGACCCAACTACTGCGTTTGCTTACACGACTCTCAAAGAAGTAAAAGAATTTCTCAGAGGTCGGAATCAGGCCTAGACCTTTACACAAAACCTCAAACCCACGCACAAAGGCCCAACTATTTGGGTGAAGCTGAGTCGGGGCCACATTCAACGATTGAAGTACCCCTCTCTCGCAATCGGACAAGGGCCACCTCACTTTCAGTTTGGAAATTAAAGTAGCGTAGCAAAAGGTGAAACGCTCGCTAGGACCCCCCCTAATACACACAGGCTCATGGTCTACGCAAGGCTCACAAATGATAACATTATCTACACCACAAACTACATGTTCCCTACAAAAACTATCCATGGCGGCCCAAGAATTTATGGAAGACTCACAGCGGAGCACATCGTCCCTAGCCCACTTATAGGTTTCTCCATAATTTACTAACGCCATTTTAGCAAATATCTCTAACTTAAGGGGGAAGCAAATTTTCTCTATAAACAGAAAGGGCCAAATGGTTTAGATGGGCGTACCTAAAGCCAAAAACAACCTTTCCCCACTCAACAAACGCTACCGGAACGCCGTAGACCGCCGCGAACCACCGGAGTAGATAGACGGACAAAGACGCACCACTGAGACAAGACGCCACAAGAGAGAAATGGGAGGGAAAAAGCAAACGTCTTACACCCCCGGCATGCCTATATTTATAGGCAGCAAGAAGTGTATATGAGAAGCCACACCAAAACGCTGCGTCTCGAGAGAGAGGGTACATTAAAACCCAAGCGGCGCGCGCGTGGAACGTTACACCTTCTGACATTAAAAGGACCCTGGGATTAACCCCCTCCATACGTTTATGACACGTGGAGGAGGAGTCATTTAATGCCCCGCCATGGCGGCGTTGTAATAAATGCCTCTCTCACTTTTTCAAGAAGGGGAAAAGACAACGTACTAGGGGGACCCAAACGAAGGATTGCTAGGGTTCAAAGCTCCCTCTCCGAAACGATCAATCAAA